ACATTTTTTAATTTTTTAATGGTAAAAATCAAAAGATGAAAAAGTATATGCAAACACATGACATTACAAATTATTTTTTAGAGTTATGGAAAATTTGTTAAAAATGAAAAGACCAAACAGTTGTGAGAATGTGATGCAACCATATAATGAATTAACAACAATAAACGAGTTTTTCAAAGAAGACACAACTAGATGATTAATTAATACCTATAAAACATTTTTTCGAAAAGAAGCAACCGGATAAGATTCAATAAAAACTATTAAAACATTTTTTTTCCAAAAAAAAACGCAACTCTAAAATGTATTAATAACCATAAAATGGTTTATTCTTGAAAATACACAACCCTATAGTGCATTATATTTATAAGACGGTTTTTTTGAAAGATGCAACTTTATGATGTATTAATAACCATAAAATACTTTTTTACGAAAAGATGCAACCATATGAAAAATAATAATAATAAATCAGCTTTTTGAAAAGATGCAATTTTAGACAGACCAATTTTTTGAAAAGACGCAATCCAAAAATGGATGAATAACCATTAAACGAAATTTCTAGAAAAGATGCAATCCTTAGATGAATTCATAACAACAAAAGAATAGCTATTCAGAAATACGACCTTAGAATGCATTAATAAACATAAAACGGTTTTTCAAAAAAAAGCAACCCTAAGAGAAATTAATAACTAAAATGATTTTTTTTGAAAAGACACTAATAACCATAAACAATTTTTTTCGAGAAGACGAAACCCTAGCATTAATATCCTAGAATGTAAACTATCAAAAACTTTTTTGAGGATATACACCTTTACATAAACCAATTTTTTCTTCGAAAAGACGCAACCCTAGGATGCATTGATAACCATAAAACCAAATTTCTCGAACATATGCAACCCTATGATGTATTAATAAAGACAAAATGGTTTTTACTAAGAAGACGCAATCAAAATATGTATTAATAACATAAAACGGTTTTTTTAAAAGTCACAGTTCTGAGGGACATTGCTAATCATAAAAAGATCTAAAAGACGCAACCCTTAGAGATTAATAATTTTTTTTTAAAACTCAATCCTAAGAAACATTAACAACAGTAAAATAATGTTTTTTAAAAGATGCAACCTAAGAGAAATAACCATAAAATAGTTTTTTTTTTCAAAAATGCGCAACTCTGAAAGACACTAGTAACCATAAAACATTTTTCAGGAAAAACACAACCCTAGCGTTAATAACAATAAAACGGTTTTTTTTAAGAAACAACCCTAAAATATATTTTCTAGGATTGCTATTATTGATAGACGTGATCCTTCAAAGTATTTTCTAGAATTATTATTTAATAAAAAAAATATTATGAGACTCCAAAATAATTTTTGACGTTTTTAATCACATCATGTTTTGAGTGAATTTTAAATTTAGTAGTCATAAATGAAAAAAATTCAATGAAACAAATATATAGAGGGAGAAAAACATAAATCTAAATACCAGTGTTTTTTGAAAGATGCAACCATAAAGATTAAAAACCATAAAACGTTTTTTTTTTAAATGGCGCAACCCTAAAAAACACTAATAACCATAAATGGAATATCTTGAAAAGACGCAACTCTAACATTAACAACCATAAATATAGGTAAAACGGTATTTTCCGAAAAACGTAACCCTTGAATATAACCATATAATGGTTATACTGAAAATACGCAATATTTGGAAATCGATTACTTTTGAAAGGACGCAACCATAACGCAGTTATATTGAAAATGTGTTGCCCTTGCAAATAACCATAAATTGGTTATATTGAAAAAACGCAATCTTTGAAAAGAACCATAAAATGATTATTTTCAAAAGAACACAACCATAAAGCGTTTATCTAGATATTAAATATAACATTTGGAAATAATTAGAAAACAGTTTTATCAAAAATACGCAACCTTTGAAAATAACCATAAAACAGTTTTTTCCTAAATAACACAATCTTAAATAACCATAAAGCGGTTATATAAAAAAAAACAACTTTTGAAAAAGCGGTTATATAAAAAAAACAACTTTTAGAAATAATTATAAAACGGTTATGTTGAAAAGATTCAATTTTTGAAAATAACCAATAAACTATTTTTTTCTAAAGAGATGCAGTTTTGGAAATAACTACAAAGCGGTTATTTTTGAAAGGACACAACCATAAAACGGTTATTTATACAGTAGATGCAACCTTTGGAAATAACCATTATAAAGTTATATCAAAAAGACACATCTTTTAGAAATAATCATTAAACGGTTATTTCTGAAAAGACACAACCTTAAATAATTATAAAGCGGTTATATCGAAAATACAACTACCGTAAAATTGGTTATATGGAAAAAAGTAACCCTTGGCCCACAAAAAAATGTTTTTCCATCCTCACTCATTTCACGGATCGGAACCATAGCTATTCGTCTTACCAATGGAACAATTCATGGATTTTTATGCTATTTAAATTGATTTGAAGAGTTGTAACTTTTCAATGGTAATCATTGGTTATTAAAAAAAAGAAAAAATGACTCAAATCCCATGAAACTATGCGAATATGACTAGAATACCATATATCTTT